GGCTGGATGGGGCCTAATGGACAGGATCCCCAATAAATGTCTCTTGAAATAACTCCTGTCCTGGTCTCCGACCGCTAGTATCATTTCCCGTTAATCCAAGTAACGCGTAAGCCAACTTTGATAATTTTAAATTTATTGAACGTAATAAACTTCCATGAACAATAACAAATATTCATTGGGACTTGGAAGGAGGATTTAAGGTCCTATTTCGAAATAATCAAAGTTCGTTGATGAGCTTCATTCCCCAAAGAGGCTTACGTATAAAAGCTGATAATTATCAAGTCGTCCTTAGTTTCTGGCTGGTAACTAGAAATCTATACCGGAGTTGAGCGTTTCCAACGAAACTAAAAAGTAAAAACAAGAATTTGAAAAATGGTGACTCTTCAGCTGAAAATCAGGCTCACACCAGTTGAAACATTAACGTCGTAGCCTAATCTTTATATTTTTTCTTATATGTGGCCTTGTGTCATACTTAATTAAGTTTATTTTAAAGTATGCATTGGAGTTACAAATAAAAATAAATTCTGGTGTTAATTTTTTTTTTTTTTTTTTTTTAAATCCTACTTTAAAACTTTTTTTTATTTTTATAAAGTTTAAATCGTAAAATTTAAAAACTTAGCTTTTGGGTACGATTTATGGTATACATTCAGTCCAGGTATATTTTTTATTAATTGTGGTTTATTTTATACTATTTATTTAGTTTTATAACTTTTTGTAACTATTTGCTTAACTTAAGACAACAACAGTGATACTGATATCTCTTAAATTAAGAAAAAAATAAGGAAAAACAAACGTACTTTTGGCGCACGCACACACACACACATGTATATATATATATATATATATATATATATATATATATATATATATATATATATATATATATATATATATATATATAAAAACAAAGATTGTAGCCACAGAAATAGAAAATAGACTTAAGCAAAACAGACGTCAATATTAAACCTTTGGGACACTTTAGGCCAACGCTTTTTCAAAAGTTAATCGCTGGCGAAAAACGAAAACACAACCGAGAGACACATTTATTAATAATAAATAACAAATCGGGAGGGAAAGTTGGAACGTTATTAAAATATATTTTAATTGTAAATAAATTTTAACTGTAAATAAATTCATGACTAAAAAAAAAAAAAAAAATTTAGTAAGTTCCAATATAGTAAAAAATAGAAAAAAGTCACTCACAGTTCCTCGATCAAACGTTCATTTTACTTACTAGAAGGTACTCAGAATGTAACATAGTTCTTTTGGAAGTTTACATCAAACGATTTGTTCACCAAAAATATTAACAGTCTCTGGCCATTTTTTTTAATAAATAGAACAAGTTTAACCAAGGGATTAGTGTTTGAAGATACCATGGTTTAATAATAATAACAACAACAATAATAATAACATGTGCGTGTATTATATATGTATATATACATATATATATATATATATGTGTGTGTGTGTGTGTGTGTGTGTGTCCGAACACAAGGTTGGTACAGATAGAATAAACTTCCAGTAACCAAAAACACTGTTTTTAAAAAGTGCTCAATACAGAGTAGAGCTAATATTTATTTAAAAATTATAACATCATATAATATATATATGTTATGATTTTATAAATATATATATATATATATATATATATATATATATATATATATATATATATGATATGGACAAAGTCCGACAATTATTTTAAGACCTTTTATGTTTATACACATTCTTTTTTATAGATACAAATATTTAAGTAAATGCTCTGTCGTTATTGTTTATTATAAACAGAGCATTTGCTTAAATATTTGTATGTATAAAAAAGAATGTATATATATATATATATATATATATAATGTGTGTGTGTGTATTGTGTGTGTAGACATGTACAAGTGCGTGTAGTAAGAATATATTTTATCTGAATTTTCTACTAATGTTCTGTAATGATTATTAATAATATTCATCACCGATTTAAGTGCATTGACAAAGGGGTGGGGGGCATTATTTCGAAGTAGAAATATTTGTTGTGTATTATTAAATAAACGCCTGTTTATTCATAATGAAGACTACGACGTCGTTGTTTTATCTCCGTATCGGACATGTGTAAGTAAAATTGTTCAATGAAGATGCCAGTTTGAATGGGTTGAGCGAAAAGTCAATTTTTCTGCGTGCCTATGACGATGTGTGTGTAGAGAAAGAATATAGTAGCAGTCTATCTCGTTATTTCGGATGGCGTGTTTATTTTATTTCTCTTGGACTACTTCACTGTTTGATGCCTATTCGAAGGCTGGTGTAGTCGTTGCATCTCGAATAATAGAATTATCTGTGTGGGAATGTGTGTCTGCATATTGATGTGTATAATCTTCATTTCGAAGAGTTCGTGCGCGCGCGCCCGTGTGTGTGTGGTAAGTTAAAAAGCCGGCCATAGCTTTTTGGAGCTGGTTCGTTTTCGGTGTGGATATGTGATCAGTGATTTCATTTGGAAGATTGGCGCAATACAGTCTTCTTTGCGCCTCTGCTTGTTTCCCCGCCCCCACCGCCATCATATGTTCTTTTGTCATACTCAGCAATTCTTAAGAAAGATTGAGAATGTCTTTTTCTTCTTAAGAAAAAAAAAAGCAAAAATTAACCACAACTCGAAATACAGATGGATTTTTAAACTGTCAGTTTTTACATACGAAAATTATTACACGCACACAGACACAGCCACACACACACACACACACACGCACACACACACAGCCACACACACACACACACACATGCATAGAAAATACATATAGATCTATGATACACACACACACACACACACACACACACACACACACACACACATGCATAGAAAATACATATAGATCTATGATACACACACACACAGCAAACGCACACACACGCATAGAAAATACATATACATCTATGACACACACACACACACAGCAAACACACACACACGCATAGAAAATACATATACATCTATGATACACACACACAAACATACCCACACGCACACACACGTGCGTGTGCACACACGCATATGAGAATGTGTTTTAATGTAGGAAATGCTTTCGAACAGACCACAACTGCTTTGTACTGAGTTCAACCTTTACGGAGTACTCTTTAAACGTGACCTTGTACCAGACTAATATAAACAATACACACACAACTCACGATCAGATCACGTTGAAACACTGGTTCACACACAATTACCGAAGTTAAGCAATATCGAGCCTACTCATTACCAAGATGGGTGACCGCGTGGGTATGTCAGGTGCTATAATCTACGATGTACGCGTGGTCACATGAATAACGGCTCGTTATTGTTAATCAGAGAGCCGAGTTTCAATCCCAGTTGGGTTCGTTATATTTCACTTACACGCAAATACCCGTGGGGAAAGTGTGAATCCACTTCTCCCCCAAGCTACGGGTTAATTAGTAGTACTCGTATATAAATCATTATTATACTCCCCAAACTTCTGACATTCTAAAATATTTTCTGGCTTTAAATCACCTGCACAAAGGTTGATACACCGTAAAAAACAAAGCTATTAATCTGTGCATATGGTTTATACTGCAACTATGCTGAGTGGAACTGAGTTACGGTTTCTGAGAGAGAGAGAGAAAGAAAGAGAGAGAGAGAGAGAGAATCATCTGGCAGAATCAGCAGTTTGAACAAGGCCAGTACTATGACATCCTCGGTCACGATGACTTGTGACTTCATGCAAACATAATCATCGATGTATAATTCTTTCTGTCCAGTTTCGTTACTAAGACTTGGGTCAGCCTGT